TATTTTATTTAAAAACAAAAAAATTTATTATTTTTTTAAAACCATATTATATCAACATAGACAAATTATAAAATAAAATTTATTTCACTGTATTTTATGAATACCCTTCTAATCTTACTAAAAAAGGTTAGATAAAATTTAATCTTTTTAACAAAACAACACAAGTTGTTTTTTTATATAAAGAAGCCTCATTTCTTATTTAAAAATAGGCATGGGAATGAGCTTCGATCCGTCAGGGACGGGGATTCCTTGCTAAATCGGGGATGAGGACAGGGACGGGGATCGTACTCCCCGCTCCGCCTCGTATCCATTATATATATTAATTAATAAATTATATATACATATTATTTATTTCAGCTAAAACGGTAATTCATAATTTTATAACTAGGTTTATAATTTAAAATTGTTATTTTTTAGATGTTAATATGTAATATTCTAGATGTCAAGTCAAAATACAATTACTCGATAAATTTTATATATTACTCGATATGGTTTTATATTACTCAATATATTTTGGTACATGTGACTTTAAGTTTTTTTTGGATTAAATATGATTTTTTTTTAGGTTATTAATTCTTATATGGTATTGTAATTTTTTTTGTATTAAATTAAATTCATTTTGGTTTTAGGTTTATTGAAAATGTTTGAGATTTAAACATGTATGGTCTCTCGCATATTTAATTTAAAATAACTTACATAAACGGAAAAAATAAATATCCGTAACGAGGGATGGGGATGTGATTATATTTTCCAGCGGAGATGGGGACGGGGATAGAAATAAGTAATCGGGGACGGGGATTGAGGTTCTGCCCCATTCCCATGCCTATTTAAAAACTAGAGCAAGTTACGATTTTCGTCCATGTGATCTGTTAATAATTTTGTTTTTCATCCCTGTAGATAAATTCCTATCTTTAAGCATAAGAGACAAAAATAGTAAAAATTTGTAAATTATAGGTATTGAAACAAAAACAATTTATAAATCATATGGACGAAAATAGTAATGAATTACAAACTATATGGACCCGTGATTTTTAAACCGCAATTGCAAAGATGAAAATAGCAATTTTTAACAAACCACGTGGAAAGAAAACGTAATTTACTCTAAAAAGTATGAGCGAAAAACGGCAAAGGAAATACAAACAACAAGAGATATAAAGAAGCATAAAAAAAGGCTAAAAATATCAACTATCTATACTATATTATAAAACATTTGACAAAGCTCTTAAAAACCATTTTTTATGCATAAAGTACTATTTATTAACGCATGTTACTTAAAACTCAATATTACAAGTAGATTGTGCGTAAATACAACTTATTAAAACTCCATATTTGAATTCGTATAACTAATTGCAGATAAACATAATCAAATACGTGATAAACATCTCATTTTAAATATAAAAAATCTAAAATATAATTAGGATAATAATTGAGTTATAACAAAATACTTAATTATTATTTTTATAAAATGTAATATTATTAAACCAAAAATAAATTATTTCATTCTTAAACTTAAATTAAATTATAATAAAAATAAATTAATTNTAAATTAAATTATAATAAAAATAAATTAATTAAAAAAATTACATAAAAAATGAGAACTTTTAAATAGTTGTTTTGATATATTTTTTCAAATTTTTATGACATCTCCAAATTTATATTTTATTAAAAAATAAAATTATTATTATTTTCTTAAAAACACATAAAATCGTATTATAACATCGACAAAGATAAAAAATAAAATAAAACATTAAAATCGAGATGTGTATCGCTACATTGCGCGAGTACTCTTCTAGTTTTAATAATATAATTAGTATGGGGTTCTTAAAAAAGGTATTTTTATTTATAAAAGATATTTTAAATTAAGGGTTTGTTTGGCTGAGAACCTGAGTCCGATGAATGAAAATGATATTGGAAATAAAAGTGGAATGAATTTTCCTTCCCTTGCTTCACTGGGAATGAAATTTTAGACTTATAATGAATAAATACATTATCTATATTATATTATAAAACATTTGGCTAAAATTCTTAAAAACAATTTTTTATGTATAAAGTACTGTTTATTGATGCATATTACTTAAAATTCAAGATTATAAGTAGGATGTGTATGAGTACATCTTATTAAAGCTTCATGTTTGAATTCATGTAACTAACTGCAAATAAACATAATCAAATACATGATAAACATCATTTTAAATATAATTTTTTTTAAATATAATTAAGATAATCATTGATAACTAACAGATTACTTAACTATTATCTTAAAAAATTATTTTATTAAACCATAAACAAGTTAGTTTGTTTTTAAACTTCAATTAAGTTATAATAAAAAATTACACAAAAACAAGAACTTTTAAATAGTTAACTTGATACTAACATCGCTTATTTTTTTTTCAAAATCTTATAATATTTTCAAATTTATATTTCATTAAAAAAACAAAAATATTTTCGTTTTCTCAAAACCACATAAAATCGCATTATAACATCGATAGAACCAAAATATAAAACGAAACATTAAATCAAAATGTATCTCGTTGCATTGAACGAGTACTCTTCTAATCTATACTTTATTATAAAACATTTGACAAAAACTCTTAAAAAACCACATTTTATGCACAAAGTACTGTTTATTAATGCATGTTACTTAAAACCCAAGATTACAAGTAGATTGTGTGTAAGTACAACTTATTAAAGTTCCATATCTGAATTCGTGTAAATAACTGCAGATAAACATAATCAAATACAGGATAAACATCTCATTTTAAATATAAAAAATCTAAAATATAATTAAGATAGTCATTGAGTTCTAACAGACTACTTAATTATTATCTATTAAAATGTTTATATTATTAAACCAACAATAAATTATTTCGTTATTAAACTTAAATTAAATTATAATAAAAAAATAAATTAAAAAAATTATATAAAAATGAGAACTTTTAAATAGTTGATTTGATATTAGTATTGATATTTTTTTTTTCAAATTTTTATGATATCTTCAAATTTATATTTTATTCCAAAATAAATTTATTAATGTTTTCTTAGAAACATATAAAATCGTATTATAACATCGACATAGACAAATAATAAAATATAACATTAAAACCAAGATGTGTCTCGCTGCATTGCGCGAGTACTCTTCTAATATTATAGAAAACCAAACAGTTTCTTTTATTTTTATTCTCATAGATTATTATTTAATATATTTAATCAAACATCTTTTAAAAAAATATTTTATCAAATATACAAATATTTACTCCGAAATAAATGAATAAAAATGTGAAGGTTAACTGAATTTTTTTTCCTGAAGAATTTAATATTTTTTTAATATGTTGAACATGCTACGATCAAAAATCAAATTTATCACCAAAATGTTGATAATGAAATTAAAGATCTTACTATATTATAAAGCATTTGACAAAAATTCTTAAAAACTAATTTTTATGCAGAAAATATGTTGGGTCAGCAGACTCGGTGTTCCCTCGGCAGGTCAAATCCTCGTCCTTAAACCCACCGCTCCTGTAGCAATGCAAAACCGTGGGAGTCTTCTCCTACCAGTGACGCGTTTTAGAAAGCAAAACCGTGAGGGGTTGTTGCCGTGCGGGGAAACCCCGGGGCAGCCCAGAGCGGACAATATCACGTGGGCGGCTCCCTAGTGCAGTTACCGGTCCAACAAAATACTGTTTATTGGTGCATAATACTTAAAATTCAAGATTACAAATAAATTGTGCATAAATACAACTTATTAAAGTTCCATATTTGAATTCATGTAACTAACTACATATAAACATAATCWAATACATGATAAACGTCTCATTTTAAATACAAAATATCTAAAATAAAATTAGGATAATCATTGAGTTCTAACAGAATACTTAATTATTATCTTTATAAAAAATTATGTTATTAAATCTAAATTAAATTACTTCGTTATTAAACCTAAATCAAATTATAATAAGAAAAATTAAATTAAAAAAATTACACAAAAAAATAGAAATTTTAAATAGTTAATTTGGTACTTATATCAATATTTTTTTTTTCAAATTCTTATGATATCTTCATATTTATATCTTATGCAAAAGTAAAAACATTATCATTTTCTTAAAACCACATAAAATTGTATTATAACATCGAAAAAAGAAACGAAACATTAAAGTCGAGATGTATCTCGTTGCATTGCGCGAGTACCCTTCTAGTTAATATTAAAAGAGTACTCGTGCAATGCAGCGGGATATATCTCGATTTTAATGTCTCGTTTTATTATTTATTTGTGTCGATATAATACGGTTTTATATAGTTTTGAGAAAGCAATAATGTTTTTATTTTTGAATAAAATATAAAATTTAAAATATTATACAAATTTGATATATATATATATATATATATAT